GGAGCAAGTTCCAACTACTGCACCTTCTAGCTCTGTAACCTGGGGTAATTTCTTAATCTCCATGTGCCTCAGTTTCCTGACTTGTAAAAGGGATGAAGGTAGTCCCCACCTCATCGAACTGTGGGGGGATTGAGTTGTTACATACGGAGTTCTTAGAACAGTGCCCCAAGTAACAACTCTTATTGAGTGATTCTACTTTAATAATAATGAGCTAATTAAATTAATAAAGAACGTTACATGGAGGCAGTCAGGCGTAATTCTAATATTGAATTTATGTCGAGACTTTGGGGGAAAGTTTGTGATTAGCCATTCCCCTTCCTTCCCTGGGTAAGGAAGCATGTACTTCTTTGACTGTCCTGGGTTTTAAAATTGCTGATGAAGGAGAGTTCGTTGAATAGCTGCTAATGGCTGTGGTCATTCAGCCCTGAATGCAGTTAGAGCCACTTAGCTGGGGTGTACCTCTGTGGGCCTGCTGTTTCCTTTCAGGCTGTAAACAGTGCCTGGGAGGGCTGGAGAGAGAAGGTGGTTTGGGGAAAATGTTTCTTTCAGCATCCTTGTTGGGCTTTTATTGACTTATCCACATAGACCTCATTGCAGCCCAGCCGTAGCCATCAGACCTGGCTATCGTTTCCTTCTCAGTTCTACCGTCGTCACCAGGAGCCTATGCCTCTGTGGCGATAAACTCCATAGCAGGTCGGGCTTCCTCATTTGCCTGGGCAGGTGGGAGGGGAAATACCCCTTCTCTCAGGGGTGAGAAATGATTTGTAATGTAATTATAAGACTACTTCCTGGCAGCAAAACACCTCCCTGCTTCCTGCCCACGAGCCTTTAAGAGGGAAAGAGCCGAGCTGGGGTGTTTACAGAAGCTGGCGTTGCTGCCTTGGCTCCTAGGAACCCTGTGGCCAGCATTACTGCCAGCCTGAGCCCAGCCAGCTCTGCTCAGACCTTGGTCAGGCCTCCGGAGCTCCTTCCCATCCCTCCAAACCTGGTGCCTGTGGGGTTTTGCAGGCCTGGACTGCAGGTAGCAGGGAAGGGAGGCCGTGCCACAGTGGACAGGTACCTGCTCCTGGCCCACCTCTGCCCCCTGCAACTCCTGGTCCCTGGGGCTATGCAGTTCCAGTAGTTCCCTGGGCAGAACTGGCTGGGAGGGGTGCTGGGAGGGGCGTGGGTGTGCCGCAGAGGCTCCATCCCAGGAAAGTGGACCTGAGGGTGAGAAGTGTGGTCTCAGCCTCCTGCCGGCTTTGGTGCCCGAGGATGACCTGCTACCTCTCACCCAGCCGGGAAGAGGTCCACAGCCCTTGCAGGCCTGGACAAAGTCCATTCATACCAGAGGGCTTGCACCTTCACCCCTGTTACTTCTAACTCAGGAAAAGGAACACCTCCAATCAAGGGACTGTCTGGCCATGGTGAGCAGGTGAAGGGGCCTCACTTTGACTTGGGACAGGTGGCACTGGAGGGCTGCTCGCTTCCCCTGCTGTCAAAGGCTGGCGGTGGACAGACAGCTCTCCTGCAAAAGATGCCAGGTGGGAAGGAAGATGTGAAAGCGAGGCACCTGGGCTGTCCCGAGTCCCTCACTTCTTCCTTTGAGATTAACTCGTGTCCCTGGCTGGCAAAGCTCAAACAGGGGACCCAGAGCTGGTTCCCACAGGACTTGTGACAGTGTGCCTGCCACCTCTCCCTTCCTGGGTGCCCTGCCACCCTCCCCCTCTAGGCAGGCAGCCGTGGCCTCCTGGCTCAACTCAGACTCTCCAGGCAGCAGGCTGGAGTCAGGAAGTGTGTGCTTCAGGCCTTCCCAGGAAGGGAAGAGGAAGCCTGGGGGCAGAGGAGACCTTGGAAATGGGTGAGAGGACAGGGAGGCAGCCTTTGCCTTTTTTCTGTGTGAGGATGGTAGTTAAATGGTACGTCACAAATGACAAGATGACTCTGGAAGACTTTGTAAACCTCTTAAGAAGTGTGACATCTTTTCATTTTACTACTGTGGTGTCAGGGGGAACGATTGATGCTAATTAGAGATTCCATGGATCAATGCAATGAGAAAAGAAAAAGCAAAAATTTACTTTGGGTAAGAGTCATTCTAGCCATTTATGTAAGTTGCTTCCTATTTATGCCTAATTACCATGAATTAGGACAATGATGGGATAGATAGATAGATGGATAGATGATTGATTGATTTGGGATTGATTAATCTTCTAAATCTTCTTTGTCACAACACCTAATTCTAGACCCATGCTCAGGCTTCTGGGGTGGTAGTTTGTGTTGTCTGGTGCTTCAGGAGTCCGTTTTCCCATGGCCCTGTAACAATGGGCAGGAACCTTGGCCTTGAGCCCGAGCAGGTGGAACACTACCTATTCAGTTTGGTTCAGGGGAACAGAAAGCTGACCTGACAAGGAGCCTAGAGCCATGAGCTGGATTGGGATTCCCTTGACCCAGCAAAGATGTGGTCTGGACCTGATAATGGGGAAGGAGAAGAAGGGATGGATTCGAGGTGTGTTTGTGAAGCGATTTGTTGATGTGGGTGTAAGGGAAATGGAAGAGTTGGTAGCTCTCAAGTTTCTGGCTTGGGTCATTGAGTGGATGGTCTCACCATAAATGGAGAAGAAAAGGCGGGAGAGGGGAAGATGTCAGGTTCAGTTATAGACTCATCTGAGCGCCTGCAGGATATCTAGTGGAGATGTCCATCGAGCCATTGGATGTTCATGTTGGGAGCTTAGGCAAGAAGGGAGGGCTGGAGATAAGGTGTTGGCAGTGTGTATGTGGAGGCTGAAATCCAGAGAGCGAGGAAGAGTGTGAGTGGTGACCTGACAACAGGACCCTTGGGGAGACTCACAGAGGAGAGACTGGGGTGTGGCCAGAGAGGACACAGATTCTGCGGACAGTTCACTGTTGATAAATAAGGTGTCCTTCTTTAAAGGAGAGTGATTCAAGTAAAGGTGAATGAGGGCATGTCATTCCCAAGAGAGCTTTTCACTTGGTCTATGTAGAAGAAACCTACAAAAATAAATCAGGTCCAAATTTCTTGCTAATTCTCTCTAAGGAGATTGGGTACAATGGTTATGTCCTCATTTAAAATTTATTGAGGTGTGTTAGGAAATGGTGTGCAGGCTCCTCAGGCCTCTCGAGTTCTCAGAATTTGTACCTCCTTGAAACTGCCCAAGAGCTGGGCCAGCCCTCCTGTCCTCAGGCCGTGGGGGAGGACTCCCTGGACCCCTTCCTGCTGCTCCCAGAGAAGCACACTCTGCCCTTCCCTTGGGTAGCCTGTTTTTGTCTGATAACGCAATGTAGTCATTTTTAAAATTCAAATAGTATGGAAGGATACTCAGTGACGAGTATATCCCCCTCCCACCCAGGCCTCTAATCCTCAGTCCTCTCCCACCCCGCCCTGCAAAGGCTCTCCTGTTCCAGGTGTCGGTGTTGTGTCTGTACAGCATCCTTCGGGAAATACTAGCCTGTGGGCCAGATCCAGCCAGCTGCCCGCTTTTGTAAATAAAGTGTTATTGGCACACAGCCATGCCAATCACTGACACGTTATCTGTGGCTGCTTTCCCACTGTAACCGCCGAGGCGAGCAGTTGTGACAGAGAATGAAGAAGTTTGCCGGCACATGCTCTGTGTGTGTAGACTCCTGTGTATGTAGTATTTTTTGACACACGTGTGAGCACACTGTACCCAGTTCTGCATTTGCTTATTTCTGTTTCACAGTATGTCGTGGAGATTGTTCCACATGGGCCCATGCAGACTTGTCTCAGGCTTTTCACATAGTGGGGGTGTAATTAATCAATGCCCCGTCGAAGGACGTTTTAGTGGTTTTCACTCTTTAGTCTGAACAAATAACACTGCAGGGAACCTTCTTGTGCACACACCTTCTTTGCACAAACATGAGCTCTTCTGGGTGGGAGCATTTAAAACTGACAGATACACCAAACTTCCCCCCACCCTGGTAGTTCCCCCCTACACACCCCTACTCTCAATGACAGTCAGGTTCTTTTCATTCTAAGGGCTAAATTTCTAATCCCTGTGAGGAAATGGGGGCTAACAAAATACAAAATAAGAGAAATGTGAGGTTTACCAAATTTGTATATCTGTGCAAAATTTTACAATGTCAATACCTGCTTAGCTCCTTTGGGTGTCTGCCCACTGCTCTTATTCTGAAGGTGGATGTCTTAGTCCGTGCAGGCTGCTATCACAAAGTACCATAGACTGGGTAGCTTATAAACCACAGAAATGTATTTCTCCCAGTTCCCCAGGCTGGGAAGTCCAAGATCAAAGCACAGGCAGATTTGGTGCCTGGTGAGGCCCGCATCTGGGTTCATAGATGGCCGTCTCCTCACTGTGTCCTCACATGGTGGACGGGGCGAGGCAGCCCACTGGGGTCTCTCTTATAAGAACGCTCATCCCATTCGTGAGAGCTCCACCCTAATCACCCTCCCAAAGCCCCACCTCCTAATACCATCACATTAAGGATTAGGTTTCAACATGAGAATATGGGGGGGACGCAAACATTCAGTCTCTAGCGGTGGGATTCACTGGGCTTTCCCCATCTGACTTCAGACCTAGATCTAATCAGGATCTGAAGGTAGAATCGAAATGAATGTTCCTTTTAGCTGCAGGTGGGCCATTTGATCTCCAAGCATCTTTTGATGACATTCAATTCTCTAGACTTCTGCCCAAACCTGAGCATTCCATCCGCACATATGCTAAGCAGAAATGCAGACAATTAAGATACTTAATACCTATATTTTAGGAGTTTACATTATTTTCCATTCTATTTGGTAACCAACACCTCTCAATATTAGGTATAGTTAACAGAGAATACCGCAAAATACAACCATTCTCCGTATTTCCGTGTCCTTATTTCTGGATTCTCTCAAGAACAAGAACTTTGTGTTATTCACCTCTGGGCCCAGCATTCTGCCTGCCATGAGGTAGGTACCTAGCGGATTTTCGTTGAACTGAACTAATTTTTTCTTAATATTTCAACTGAATTATTCCTTTCTCCTCTTACAGAATGAAGACATTCAAATGTTGTTTTAAATACCCCCTACAGCAGAAAGTTTTCATCCTGTTTTTAACCCTATGGCTATTCTCCTTATTGAAGCTTCTCAACGTGAGAAGACTCCTTTTCCCTCAAAGGGGCATTTACCTGGTTGAGTACTCCCTAAGTACCTCGCCTTTTGTAAGAAACAGATACACCCATGTGCAGGATGAAGCCGGGTATGAAGTTAACTGTTCAGGTATCTACGAACAGGAGCCTTTGGAAATTGGCAAGAGTCTGGAAATAAGAAGAAGAGACATCATCGACTTGGATGATGATGATGTCGTGGCAATGACCAGTGATTGTGACATTTATCAGACCCTAAGAAGGTACCATCAAAAGCTTGTTTCAGGGGAGGAGAAAAGCTTCCCAATAGCCTATTCTTTGGTTGTTCACAAAGATGCCATTATGGTTGAAAGGCTAATCCATACGATATACAACCGGCACAATATTTACTGCATCCATTATGACCGAAAGTCACCTGAGGCCTTCAAAGTTGCCATGAACAATTTAGCTAAGTGCTTCTCCAATATCTTCATTGCTTCCAGGTTAGAGACTGTGCAATATGCCCACATTTCCAGACTCCAAGCTGATTTAAACTGCTTGTCAGACCTTCTCAAATCTTCAGTTCAATGGAAATACGTTATCAACCTGTGTGGGCAGGATTTTCCTTTGAAGTCAAACTTTGAATTAGTGTCAGAGTTGAAGAAACTCAAAGGAGCAAACATGTTAGAGACGGTGAAACCCCCTCGAAGTAAAATGGAAAGATTCACATACCGCCATGAACTGAGACAGGTGCCTTATGAGTATGTGAAGCTTCCAGTAAGGACGAACATCTCCAAGGAAGCCCCTCCTCATAACATTGAGATATTTGTTGGCAGTGCTTATTTTGTTTTAAGTAGAGCATTTGTTAAATACATTTTCAACAACTCCCTCGTTAAAGACTTTTTTGCCTGGTCTAAAGATACATACTCACCTGATGAGCATTTTTGGGCCACCTTAATTCGGGTACCAGGAATACCTGGGGAGATTTCCAGGTCAGCCCAGGATGTATCTGACCTGCAGAGTAAGACCCGCCTTGTCAAATGGAATTATCATGAAGGCCTTTTCTATCCCAGGTGTACTGGCTCTCACCTCCGCAGTGTGTGTATCTACGGAGCAGCAGAATTAAGGTGGCTTATCAAAGATGGACATTGGTTTGCTAATAAATTTGATTCTAAGGTGGACCCTGTCTTGACTAAATGCTTGGCAGAAAAGCTTGAAGAACAACAGAGAGAGTGGATCACTTTGTCTTCAGAAAAGTGATTTATGGATAAAAATCCCACAATCATGTTGTGATAAAATCATGATGGAAGTAAGCTGTCTGATGAATGGAGTCAATATGGAGTTGTACACTACCATGCCCAGTACCATTTGAGCTTAGCTTTCTCGTAGTCTGAAAGGTGTCTACAATTCCATGCACGAGGGAAAGGGACCTAGCCTTGGGTGACAGTTAGCCTGCAGTTGGTTGGGTGTTTTTATGTTTGTTTTTGCTTGTAATCTCACTGAGCTAAATCAGAGATCTTAAACGGCTAGTCATCAGAGATTTATTGAGCTCCTACTGTATGCCAGGTACTTTTTTAGAAACGTGTAGGAATTAAATCCAAGTTTTAATGAGTTATACATTGACCTCCCTCAAGGAACTGTGGCTTACCCTAATCACACAGCAACCTAGTATCTTAAATTCTCCACATAACAGTCAGGACTCTACTGGAGAAGTTTTGCAGTGTAGGGTAATCATATTACCATATAACCTAGCCATTTTGGAACAGCGTTTAAGTACAGTGACCAACACTCCACTCGTCCCTTAATTCAGCTCCCTTGACTTTTCCTGACAGAATATGAGAAGGAGAGACGCCACTACCTCAGAAAAGCTCCAAGAATTGTCCAATTTCCTGCTTGCCAAAGCATAATTTACCTTTCGGTGCCTCACTCGTTCAATTCAGGGTTGGGAGACTGTTGGTGGGGCGTTTATAGTGTATGAGTGTTAGGGAGGCGGTAGGGGGTGGGCAGGGGGTTGGGACAGATGGCGCCTGAAGAGGAACAAAGATTTATGACTTTTGCATCACGTTATACAATGGTGTCGTGAATGGCCTCCTTTTTAATTCAACTGTTTCTTTAAAACACGTTTACTGGTTAAAAATAAGAACTGACTGGGGGCCAGCCCGATGGCGTAGTGGTTAAGTTCACAGGCTCTGCCTTGGCAGCCTGGGGTTCTCGGGTTCAGTTCTCAGGTTCGGATCCTGGGCACGGACCTACACACCACTCATCAAGCCATGTTGTGGAGGCATCCCACATACAAAAAATAGAGGAAGATTGGCACAGATGTTGGCTCAGGGCCAATCTTCCTCACCAAAAAAAAAAAGAAGAAAAAGAACTAACTAATAGTTCGAAGTGTCACATTCCAGAACATTGAACCTACATCTTCCTGTTCATAAATTATCATTATACATAAGTTTCTTTACAATGGAATTAGTCTAATTTTGTTTTATGGAACTATCAAGCTAAGAGTCACTAAATTTTCTTGAAAATGTTGTGTGAAATAGAATAACTTTCTAAATTAATTATTATGGTTATTTAAAAATTTTTTTCTCCAGCAACTATCTGAGTGGAATCCAAATTTAAAATTATAGAAGTTCTAAGTTATTTGCATCATCTTCTAGCCTAAATCCAGAGAGAAAAAGCTAATTTTCTTAAGGACGTAGCAAGAATATTTATTAAAGATATTTTGTAAAACCTACAGCTTAGAAAACTACCAAATGAGTCAACTATACATATATTTTAATGTAAGTCTTTTGTGCTAGAGGTGAAATGGGACAGGAGTGGGGTCCTGAGAACAAGCTATAACATTTTTATGTCTCTTGGGAAATTGTGAAACTCATGTAAAAATTTCTTGGTGATGTTACATTTCAGTGTCAGCCTCAGTGACTACGTAAAGATGTAGTAATCGACGCCAATGTGAGACTATTCGGAAGACTGAAGTATTTAAATATTTTTTTAAATGTCTGTGTTCTACGTGTGAAATGCACCTTGCTTGTTGTAAAGTTTATGATACTAACTGCCAAGTGGGACCACTTCTCTCCTTTTCTTCTCTTGAACTTATTTTTCTTTCTTTTTTTCCCCTACCCCCTTCAGATTACCTCATTCTTCAGGAAACAACTATTACCAAGCCCCTGTTCTTAAAGATAAGCAACTGTTGGGCAGAGCTAAGTTCTGCATAAGAGCCTTACTGCTCACTAGTCGGTGACCATGACAAGCCTTGGTCACCTTGGTCTCCACGAGCCTCCCCTTTCCTGGTATTTGAAGTGAGCACTTGGTTACCTGTTCTGGCTTCCTCACACTTTTTTGTGAGAATCAATTGAGATAGTCTATGAAGTGGTTTGAAAATGTGGACAAACTATTGAAATGTCAGAGAGCAGTCTTATAAGGCAAACAGAACCAACCCCATATGAGACTTAACCATTTACCTTTTCTGAGAAACCTTCAAAATATAAAAAGAAGCCACAGTTGGAGGGGCAAGTTCTGTAACTGAATCCAGGTATGAAGAAACCCCTGTCACCACATCTGGGGTTCTTTTTAAGCCAATAGGATGAGCAGGATGGGCCAGGGGCTGAGATGGGGAGTCAGGGTAGAAATATAGCCATCGAGGCTTAAAGACACAAGGTCCTGTTAGAATCTTGGTGTTTATGCCTCTGGTCATCAGAATGAATGTAAACGCTGAAAGATAATCATCAACCTCCTGGTCCAGGGCCTGGCCTCCTGGGGAGAGATGATTCTGTCCCTTGTTTGTTGGGACACTTCCCAGTTGTTCATCAGTTTAATGCAGTCTTCAAGTGAAACACAGCACCGTGAAGAGGTGGCGCGCCTTCCTGTCTCCATTGACGCGTTTCCCGGGATTCAGTGCCAGACATTGCAGGGAGCCTGTCGGGTCACTCTCTTTCGCCTCCCGAATCCTGCGGGTTCCCTGCATGCCTTCATACCTGGTTCTTCCCTGAAACCTTTTGGTGTGATTCCCTCTGGTCTGGAGAATGTTCTGCGTCTGTGTTTTATGATTATTCTTTGCATAGTATTTATTGAATCAAGACTCTAAGTTATTTGGCGATGAGATCAGGACCTTGGAGTTTGTAAATTGTATTAGATAATATTAGTAATGAGAGAGCTACCTGTATCTAATTATGTGAACAATCTGCTGTAATATTATAATAAAGACCAGTGTTGCTGCTATTTTTAATGTTTTGGTTATTTTAAATGAAATATATGTATAAATAAAATATTTAAATTTAGAGAGTTAAATTTGAAGATTTCTCTTGCCTTCCAGAATGTGAATAGTATACATACATCTTTATATATTTTTTGACATATTTCATAGAAACCAAAAATGACAATCTTCTTTGGGAATGTAAAGTAAAGGTAGCCTATGTATGTTCACCTGTTGTTGTTGCTGTTGATAATGATGGAATGAATTTTAATTTTTTTTTAACGTTTTTATCAACTGGTCTCTAAATCTCCTACTCTGTGTGTGTGTGTTGTTTTTTTTACCATTCTCGAAAAACGTATTTCCCCATGATATGAGCTTTAAGTAATTGGTGTTGCATTTTTGTATTGTGCTGCTACAAGATGTTAATTCTCCAGTATTGTGAATTAAAATGTGTTCCGAAACCAAACCCCTGAATTTGTGACGTTTCCTCTCTGGTGGTGCTAGTTCCCCACAAAAACTCTCCTTTTACGACACTTGCCCAATATTTGAAGAGCACAGTTAATTTCACTTAGGAATAAAAGAATTCCGTGCGTGTATTATACGTGGAATATAGGCACACAACTTGAGTTGTTTGATTTGAAAGAATCTCTCGGGATTTCTGTCTTTGTTCTCCTTCAGATTGGCTTCTCCTCTAAGGTTATCTGGATAAATGTTCTTGTTTGCTTGGTTACTTTATGGAAGTTAGTTCTCAATAGGGGAGGTTGACCTATTTATCTCAGGTCCCTCCATTCCTGGAAAACCAAGACTGTCTCTGTATCAGCGCTCCTGCCATGGTTGTGAGCCCCGTGGACACGGGGACCCCGGCGCCCCCAGTGTCTTCAGGCCTGGTTGGTGGGTGATTTCCTGATGAGCTTCCCTCTGTCCTGGGTAACGCCTCCTTTTCCAACTCTCCTAAGCTGAGGACTGTTTGGCATTGCTGATCCCACACCCCTATCCCCACTCTGAAAACCCCCCTGGCTGGTGTTCTTCTTTTGCCCTTTGTAAAGCCATAGTGGTCACCAGCCTCCCTAGCTGGCAAGGAGTGTGCATGGCACACTCAAATCACAAGCCATCTCAAGGAGGAAGGCCATTCAGGGAATCTACAACATCATAAAAATGAACATCCTCTCTTAACCGATGGTTAATTCTCAGTCTCTCGAAGCCACACAACCATGCAGATCCACATAATCTCCCAGAAGAAGTTGGACGTTTTTTGGTAACGGTGGTGGTGGGACAGGTAGGTAGACAGCATCGTATTAAAGACCCATAAGCTTGATTCCTAGATAAGCGATTCCATGTTTTTTCACTTCCCTCTGGTGTCTACAGATCTAAAGTGGGACAATTGACGTCGAGTTTCATGAAACTGATTACTAGGAAACCCTGGTGAGAAAGAGTAGATGAGTGCAGATTTATTCCTACTACTGGCACAGCATTCCGGTGTCGTGGCTGCATAACAAACAGCTTGAGCTTTGCCTCAGAGACAGGTGATCAGTGCGTCAGCGCACCTGGGTGCATAAAGCCACGGGGGCCTATTCCCCTGACCTCAGCGGTGGCCTTCACACAGAGCGGCACCGTCCTTCCGGGGAGCGCCTTGGATGGAATCACGCAGAGGACAAATAGCCAGAAAAGAACCTGAGTCAAAGTCTGGTCAGTGACCTGGGTCAATTTATTTTACTTTTTTTTTATTGCTGTTGTTTCTTGCAGAACAATAAAGGAAATTTAAACTATTTGTATTCATAATTCTAACCTCCTGACAAAACCATTATAGTCCTCTGAATGCTCTTCGAATCTTATCCATATCCATATGCAGTTTTTGTTTCTCTTCCCACCGCCAATATATTTGCAGTCACTTTCCCGTGTCGCTGCCTGCTCTTTATGGCATCCAATGGTCATTCCATAATTCACTCAGCCTTTCCTTTATCGTAGGACATTTGGAGTCTAAGCTACTTAACCTTTTCTTTTTTTCTGTTGTAACAGTGCTGTGAACTGCTTTATACATAAAGCTTCTCCTTTCCTTGAATCATTTCCTTCTGATGCATTTCCAAGAGAGGAATTATAGTCCTGGAGACAGTGGGTTTTTGCCTTTTTTTTTTTTTTTTTTTTACCCGATTGCTCTTCATACATGTTACAATCACCCTCTCAAGGAATTGTATAGGGCACTTTGCTGGCGTATATCAACCACAGCCTCAACCTGTGTGAAATAAACTGTATTTATTCTGATAAGTGGATATTCTGGTTCTCAAAGTAAGCAAAGACCTTCGCTTAAAGCAAGGGTGTAGCCATTCCTTTAACAGATCTAAGAAGGTGTTTTAATGTGTGGTTAGCAAAGAGCTCTTCCAGAATATTCTCAAAGGTTTAACTTTGATGACTGACTTCATTCCAGGAAGGATCTAAAGGCTGCTAGATCCTTCTAGTATCCATTCTCCCTGTCTTCTGTGGTTTTATTCTGAGCAACAATATGACCAACTGTTAATTCCCAGCCTTCCTTTCAAATAGGGG